ATCTAGGGTTTATCTTTGCTTTTTTATATGTGTAATTACGATTTGACTAAATCGATTATTTATCCGTGTGTCTTAGTTCTTTGATCGATTGACATACGATTATTCATGTAGTATTGTGTTCTTCAGTTTTTGATTTGGTTTTTGAAGAATTTTATACCTCGTTTTACTATCGGATTCTGAGTTTGGCTTATTAGATTGATTTCAGACATCTAAGTTAGGTTTTCGATTGTGTTTGCGTTTAAGATGTGTAATTTCGATTGGAATTTTATCAATTAAACGATTACTCCTGTGATAACGAATCGGATTAGCTACTTGCTGTGATTTTTTTCTTCATTTGGGAAAAATAACTATGAATATTTTTGTTCTTTGTTCTCAAGATGATCTGAGATTTGAAACTGAATTTGGAGATTTCCTAAATTCTTTTTTTCATTTCTGTTTTCTGTTTATAACACAGGAATTCTGTTGTCACCAAATTAAGAACAACAATCTGAACATAGATTTTGAAGATTCAGTGTGTATACATCTAGCAATATCACAATGGGAGCAGAAAAATCACCTACTTGGTACATGAACTCAATATTCACTTTTGATTTCCTCATCTCTTAACCTAAAAATATGAAAAATAATAATTATATTTTTCTTTTTTTATTTATTAGCTTGCACACTACAAAGAAGAATCCAGGTAAAGTACCCAAAAGAATTCACAAGGCTGAAAGGGAGAAAATGAAGCGTGAACATTTAAATGAACTCTTTCTTGAATTAGCTGGTGCACTTGGTAATTTTTCCACAACTCTTATCAATTTACATCTTTTTAACATCTTTTTTATTGTTTAATTTTATTTTTATTATTATTATTATTATATTACAGAACTCACAGAGCAAAACAGTGGTAAAGCGTGTATATTGAGTGAAACTACTCGTGTTGTGAAGGACATGATTGATCAGATTAAGTCCCTCAAAAAGGAAAATGCAACTTTACTCTCTGAATCACAATATGTAAGGCTTATTTTATTATATATTTTTTTAATACGAAAAAATATAATATGTATTTTTATTTTATTGATTTTTCTTTTTTCTTTGTTTGGTTTTGGTGGGTAGGTGATGGTGGAAAGGAATGAACTTGAAGATGAGGCTTGTGGTCTACAGAAGCAAATCAGTGAACTAAAAAACATCATCAAAGAAAGAAGTCAAACAGTCAATGTCCAAACAAATCTTGACCTAAATGCCCCTGCGATAGAAATAGAATCCCACGAACCACAACAGTATTTAAATCCTGTTTTTGTTATCCCCGCTTGTCACCCACAACTAGATCCGGGTTTGGTTATTGACAATAATGCCCCTGTGTCAAATGTTAGTAAACCATACCCTAGGTATCCTACTCCATCCGATTCTTGGCCTTTACAGCTTCTTGAAAAGCCATCTCGAGTGTAAAATCTGTATAACTTGTTGTAGCTCATTTTAGTTTGTAATATGTTGTGTGTGTTGTCTTTTGAAGAAATGGCAAATTGTTGTGTTAGTGTTGATATAACCATATTGACTTGATAATAGTCACACGGGTTACATTGAAGAACCCAAGTATCATTGGAAATGAGAGCATAATACTATGTTTTTTTTAAAATGTTAAGAGAGCTTTCTTTATTCATGCCATTTTGAAACTAGCAGATTCACAACGTTCGCATAATTAAAGAGTTACACTAGCATATATAGTTATGGATACGAAAACAAATATTAATGTATGAGTTACACGTTTTGTGTTTTACTTTTTAAATATTCGAAATTTATGTAAATGTTATAAGTATAAAAAGCGAAAAAAAATATATATTTTTTAACATTATCTTGTACGTTAAAATAAGTATTTCCTATTTTCAATAAATAATGATGTAAGCATAATTGAAAATCTGGAATACGAATGCTGACTACCCCATCAGCGCCTCATAGGGTTGTGACAAACACTCGTTTCCTCTCTACACGTGTCCCTCCACCGAGACCCATCACTCGTATAAACCCTATAATCAATTCACCACCATTCTTTCAATCTTCATCTTCTTTGACCCATTTATCAATTAGTTTGATTCGTAATGGGCAAATCCGGAGCTGCAGCCGGAGATTTATTACTACTCATCGCTCAAAATTTTGATGTTCTTGCCGGGTACTCTGTATTCTCTCTCTCTATTCAAATTTCATAATTAATTATTGATTGGAGAAACAGAGAAATCCATTAGACTTTATTTTCGATTCCCAAATTGTTTGTTTATTCATGGCTAATTTGGTGTAAATGAAATTGAATTTTGCAGGCCCGTTGTTAGTTTGGCATATCCTCTGTAAGTCCCTAGCTCCACTTTCCATCGGTTTCTGTTGAATTACTGCATTCTTCTTCCGTTACTTTACTGTTTTTTGTGCATGATTAATTGAAACCGAATTCCGATTTGCGTATTTTGTTCCAAAAATGATAACATGTTGTCGATTTCAGACAATCTAATGCTCTATACGGACTTCATTTTCTTTTTCGGCATATAGACGAATGCTATGCAAAATGTCAATGTAGTTTTTATTATATTCTATACTATCCTATATCTTTCTCGACTGTTATTCGTGTTTCACATGATCAGATATGCCTCAATCAGAGCAATCGAGACTAAAAATGTTGTCGGTGATGATCGACAATGGCTTACTTATTGGGTATTGTACTCCATGATTACTCTCTTTGAGCTCACTTTTGACAAGCTTATTGAATGGTAATTATCTCTAAATTGGATCAATTACTCATTAATTTATATGATAAGTAGCAAGGTTTATTAATTTGGATTGTATTATACTGTTAATTATTATTATTGATATATGATGAAATGGCAGGATCCCGTTTTGGTCATATGTTAAGCTGATTGTAACATGTTGGTTAGTGATACCTCAATTTAGTGGTGCTGCATACGTATACGAGCACTACGTTCGACCTTTCTATACTGGAAACCAAACAGTCAACGTCTGGTATGTCCCACGGAAAAAAGACGCTTTTACCCCTGATGAAACCCTAGTTTCTGCAAACAAGTACATTCACGAATACACCACCCCAGATGCTTTGCAATTTCAGGAATACATTCAACCTGCTGTATGTATCTTTCAATTCTCACATGGTTATAGTTTTGGCTTTGAACATATATATATATATATATATATATATATATATATATATATATATATATATATATATATATATATATATATATATATATATATATATATTGAGATGCATAATTACGTGTTTTGAAGTTTGATGAGCAGGAGGAAATCAAGTATTATGGAGGTGGCGGTTTCTTCCCTGAATATGACTATGTATACGACTGAGGTGGTTTAATTCTTGATGTTTGTTCGATCGATATCAGGAACTTGCTGGTCAACGTTGACCAATGTATATGTATATAGTATAGGATGCTGTTGGTTTTTATTATGTATGCATACCTTGTTGTAATAATGTGTAATTAATTTCAGTTCATCACGTTAATTACGATCTTCCATGTGGATGTACTGGATGAAAAAGGGAAGCAAAATAACAAATATAGAGTTTCAGCTGCTCCATATTATTATTTGTAAAAGTTTTAGAAGTTAACTTATATTTGGTTGTTATTATTCATGTTAATGAGATGATGATATTGATCTAATTGTTGGTTTTGGTATGAAGTTCTTGGTTGTTACTTGTGAGAATTTGCATTTTATTCTTTTACAAACAATAAAAAAATAATAATAATAATAAAAAGAAAAAAAATGCATGTCTTGATAATCTAAATTATCGATCCTCCATGTTTCTATAATGTAATACCATTTTATTTTTATTTATTATATTATTTTATTTATTATATTACTAGATGTAAGATCTATATATTATATGATTTAATTAAATATAAAAGTTTAAATATGTAAGAACTTTAGATTTATAAAAAAATATAAAAAATAATAAATTATTAAAATTGATTTTTTATTTATCTTTTAAATTTAAATAAATAAATAAAATAAACTAATAAGGTTTAATTTGAAAATTTTGAAAAAAAAAAGTAAATGCATTAATAAAATTGATATTTATTTATTATTATATTTATTTTAATTATTATATTATAATGTTATGTGAAATTTTTTAAAATAAAAAAGACTCATAAAATAATATATGGAAAAGAAATTAATTTAAAATAACAGTAACATTTTACAAATTGAATTGAAAATATGATATGTATCATAAAAAACTTTGAATAAGTAGATTTTATTATTATTATTATTATTATTATTATTATTTTGATGTAGATGATACGGCTAAGGTCTAAGGAGAATTGACTTGTTATCTTTTGGAAATAAGAACCTTTTAAACATAAAAACTTCTATTATTCTATAATTATTAAAAAGAGTGTTGATTTTTTAGTAATTTTACGAGGGAAGTTAACGACCGGTGTTCTCTCACCGCATCCTCGATTGAATTTCTTTTTGTTGATCGATCATCGGATTTGATTTTCGCACAGAAATGTCGACAGATTTACAGTGCTTCATAGCTTTTACGAATATTCTGGAGCTTCAGATCGTCAAGATATAGCGATTTGCGGACGAAACATTTCAATATCTGAACCGAAGGTGACCACCGTTGAATTTCTTTTTATATTATGTTTTATATGTTATCTAATGATTTCTTAAAGTAGTTAGTTGTGCATTTACGATTATATGTTTGGAATTCGAAAACACCGATGCTAATTGTTTCACATTGTACTGGAAACCTGGAATATGTTTCTGTTTTTCGTCGAGTTAGGTTTTGTTTTGTTAAGCATGCTGCATTTGCTTAGGCTAATGGCTACTATGTGAGTGTTGGTTGAATCTTATTTATGCTCTCAGGCGTCTAACTTAGGGTTATGATTTGTATTATCGATCTTCAGCGTCCTGCTGATCATTCTCTTAAGTTGATTTCTCATCGGAAAGTTACTGATGTTTTGAACAGGTTTTAAATGTTGGAACGGAAGTGTGGATGAATGACTGACCTACAGAACATTAGCCTTGAGGAGCAGAATGTCGAGGAGGTATTTGTCGTTGCCACTTCCTTTCGACTTTGGTGAATTAGGTTAATAACACACACACACACATTTCCTCCTCTGTTGATTTTGTATCTTCTTCCATTTTAGGCCTGTTCAATATTTGGTAGAAGATGTTAGGTTGAAACGATGCATGTTTGGTTTGGATTTCAATGATAATACTTTCAATGGAAAATACATAAAGCCTTTAGGTTTTTTAAACTTTGAAAGCCTTTTACTAACCTACCATGGATTCTTGCTCTAATTGTGTTGCAATAATTTCAGGCTATCGCTTCTTTGAAGAACTGGTCATATTTACTGAGATATGGGCGCATGGGGAAGCCAAGGTTCTGCCCCTTTCGAATTTCTGATGTAAGTCATCAATCTGATGTATCCTAAACATGAATAGGCTTTCTAATACAACTGTTTTGATACTTAGAGCTCATTTTAAAGATGCTTATTTTGTACTACTAAGTAGCTTATAAGATCTAATTATCCAGGATGAAACAACCCTAATGTGGTGTATTAAAAGGGAGGAGAAACAGCTTCCATTGAGTCAGGTTCACAAGTTTATGCCTGGACAACAAACGGTAAACTTATACTCATTTCATCTCCATGTTAATACAACACCTGAAAATAAGCACACTATGAAAGTTCTAACTTACTTTTAGAAGCTAAAAACATTCATGATGTTTCCTTTTCCTGATATAATAGGCAGCATTCCAAAGATACCCTCAACCTGAGAAGGAAAATCAATCATTTTCCCTTCTGTATAACAACTACTCCCTGGATGTGGTAGGTAACTTAACTTCTTGATCTTATTCAGTACAACCATTCTTATTTCACCAAGTATTTGAACACTATGGACAGATATGCAAAGATAAAGGTGAAGCTGAAACTTGGCTTATTGCCCTTCAAACCCTAATTTCAAGAAATAGTGATCAGATATCGAAAAATACAGTTAAAGCTGATAGTATATCTTCAGATGGATCAACCTCCCTTTCTCAAAGGAATAGCAGCAGCGACATATTTGAGGTCTCAACTTATTTGTTATAAAACACAACCTAAATCTGGTACTAAATCTAGTTTTCTTTTTACAAAATGACAGGATTCAGGGAGAAATGAAACATTTACGTTTCCAATCAACAGAGCATTCTCAGATGCAATACTATGTACTGAATCTGTAAAACCTTTCCCACAAAAACAAAATATTCCCAAATCATACACCTCACAATCTTCCACAATTCACGGACCACGTCTCGATGACGTGGAATCTCTACACGATGTATTCATTTGGGGTGAAGGAACAGGGGACGGGTTGTTAGGTGGTGGCATGAACGGAATCGGAATGACCAAAATGGATTCACTTTTACCAAAGGCTTTAAAGCGAAGTGTCGCTTTCGATGCCCGAAAAGTTTCATGTGGAAGTAAACACGCGGTGTTAGTCACCAAACAAGGGGAAGTTTACAGTTGGGGAGAGGGTTCCGGTGGTCGACTCGGCCACGGAATGGAATCCGATATTCCAACCCCAAAGCTCATCGATGACCTCAGCAGATCAAACGTCGAAATGGTAGCATGTGGTGAAAATCACACTTGTGCTTTGACACAATCCGGTGATCTTTACACGTGGGGTGAAATCGGTGACGAGGCCGGAATCGGAATCGGAATCAGTCATTGGATTCCAAGAAAAGTAGGAGGTCAGATCGAGAGTATGAATGTAAAATTTATCTCTTGTGGGCCATGGCATTCTGCAGCTGTTACATCAGCAGGTCTTTTATTCACATTTGGTGATGGAAGTTTCGGTGCGTTAGGACACGGGGATAACACTAGCATATATTATCCTAAACCGGTTGAATCTCTAAAAGGACTAAAAACCATTAGAGTCTCATGTGGTGTTTGGCATACAGCCGCCATTGTAGAAGTTGACAGCTCATCTTCTAGAAAGCTTTTCGCATGGGGAAACGGGGACAACGGTCAACTCGGTCACGAAGACCGGGACCCACGGTTTCTCCCCTCGCGTGTAGTTTTGCTGGACAATAAAAACTTTTGTCAAGTCGCATGTGGTCATAGTATGACCATAGCTTTGACCAACTCAGGACACGTGTACACAATTGGGACATACGGTGTTCATCCAGTTAAAGGTAAACTTACAGACAACTACGTACAGGAAATCTCATGTGGGTCCCACCATATTGCGATTTTAACTTCAAAATCCGAGGTTTACACGTGGGGGAAGGGAACAAAAGGGCAGTTAGGGCACGGGGACAATAAAGATAGGGAGACGCCTACTTTAGTTGAAGCTTTGAGTGAAAGGAGAGTGAAAAGTGTGGTATGTGGATCGAATGTGACAGTTGCGATTTGTTTACGTAAAGAAGTGCGTACTTCTGAACTTCCGATGTGTTCAGCTTGTAATGCGGTGTTTAATTTTAAAAGAAAGCGACACAATTGTTATAACTGTGGGCTTGTGTTTTGTAAAGCGTGTAGTAGTAAAAAATCGCTAAGGGCATCGTTAGCTCCAAATGCGGATAAGTATTATCGTGTGTGTGAAGATTGTTATAGTTGTCTTCATAAAGAGGAAACAAATGGGAAAACGACATCAAGTTATCTACCTCCCAAAAGTAGGAATAGTAATAACGAACGTAATCACAAGCTTTGGGATCTTAAATCACAAGGCTTACTTTCACGGATTTCGGCTTTTGATTCATTTAGACGCGTTGGTAGCCAGTTAGTGAAACCAGAAAGCTCACAGGAGTCGAGTAATAATTATGTGGTTTCTCCATTAAATTCATCTCCATCTTTATTTGAAAACCCAACGTTTGGTACTTCTCAATCTCAAGCAGCATCTCCTGTGAGATCGAGTTTTAGTTACTCCAATTCGATTTCTTCTGCTATTGCTTCTCTTGCGTTTCCCGAAACAAAAGGAGATGATTCCAAGAGAAAGGAGGAGAATCTTATGAAAGAAATTTCAATACTAAGAGAACAGGTGGAGTATCTAACACAAAAGGCTCAGATTGTAGAAGCTGATCTCAAAAAAACATCAATACAGTTAAAAGAAGCAACCAAACAAGTTAAAGATGAAGAAGAGAAAAACAAAACTGCAAATGTAGAAATAACATCTCTCACCACACAGGTGGAGAATTTGACCACAAGGATAGGTCAGGGATGCTGTTGGAGATGCAGAGTGTCAGGAAAACCTTGTATCCAAAGGCAATTGAGCCTTTAAGGTATTTGCATACCTTTATTTTCAGTTCTGATTCTGATTATCAACTAAGAGAAATATGTGAAGATTTCATTTCATTTAAATTGTATCAATTTAAATAAACAAGATTGTACATACAAATACAAGTTCCATGTCCTTTTTGTGGTGAAAAATGGCCAGGTCATGTGATAACTTAATTTTACAATGTGAATGAAATGATACAACAGTTTGGTTTGGTTTGGTTTTGTTTTGTTTTGTTTATCCAGCTGGTGATTATTTACTGATTGGAAGTGGCAGATAGGATTTGTTGAGCTTCCGCAAGTGCAGAGTCTTCATCTGCAGCATAGAGCACCTTTTTAACTGCCACAACCATCTGTTGCAGTAAAATCCATGAGAAAGTATCTGGAAAATACAATTTTAGGTTAAAATTCAGAAAAATATTAAAGATCTAGAAAATGTTACCGGAATATTTTCCAATTCCGGTCCCTGACAAAGTATCTCAATATCCCGTAACTTTGCAAAGTAGTAATCCCGTTCTTTCTCCAAAAGATCCACAGATATCTTCAGCTCCGTAATCTGAAATCATATACATATATTATATCAATCAATACTTCAAATCTATGAGTCAAATATGTGATCCTTACCTCATTCGACAAAGCCTTAATCTTCTCTGAAGAATCAGACTCCACTTCTACTACTACTCCACTTGGTTTTTGCTTACTCCCTGAACCAAAACAATCAACATTACATTTTTTTTTATTTTATTGGTTTTGGGTTTTGCAAATGCCACATCAGCACTCATGACCTCACCATTTATCTTGTGGTCCCCTGATCCAGGATTCTGGGAGTTGTTTGTTTGTAAAGACTTGGAATTCTTCTGGGATTGGGATGCCATTGCTTTCGCATGACGTTCTTTACATATCTTACTCCTACGTTCCAGAGGATTATAATTCCTGAAACAAGTATATACCAAACATACATATATAACTAACACCTCCAACACCAAAATAAATAATATCACAAAAAATTTGGTTATACTCATTCATGATGCCACCATTTACAGAGTCACAATAGCGTTTCAACCACTGTAGAAACTCCAAGTTGTCCAATGGCCGACCCTTCACTAGTCTATTTACTTCAATATGCTGAAACCAATGGTTATATAATTGTAAACATATATGAAGAAGGAATTTATGATTGTTAATTTGTTAGTAATACTAATAGTCTAATACTACCAACCTTATCGATTTTAAGTTTGTTAAATACATCTTGTAGTACTTTGTAGTTTTGGATCATATCATATTCTGTTCTTGCATCGAAGTTAACCTGTAGTTTAAAAAAAAAAAAAAAAATCATGTCAACAATCTAGAGTCTAGGCTTAGGGATTGGAGATGAATTGTGGTCACCTTACCTTGTGCATTGGAACGGCTCCTGGATAGGTCATGTCCATCATCTGACACTGTACAGCACCTGAAGCGGCCTACATAGATAGAATGTCCGCAGTTCATAAATTAACAAGCTAAATTAATTTAATTAATCACAAGCATAGGGAAGGGGGATCTATGTTATCCAGTCGTTTATGGAGTATGAAGATCAAATTTCCCTCTGACAACCAACAATTCGCATATGATAATTTACATCGAGGGGAGGGGTTATGAATAAAAAAGGAGAATGATTTATGGAGTATGAAGACCAAATTTTATATTTGAATTGGTTCGTTTCTACTATACTCGTAACACTAATATTGTGGATCAAGTCTCCATTTCACATCCTCGTTTCAGTGATGAGCAAAACGAAATTATGAGAGAGATGAAGTGGTTGTGGTTACCTCTTCAATACGAGAAAGATTGAGTTGAAGGTTGGCATTGATCCATGAGAGAAGCTCATTCCTCCCAACGAAATACGCACTGTCCATCATCCCAATATTGCTCGCCATCCTCTCTCTCTCTCTCTCTCTCTCTCTCTCTCTCTCTCTCCCTCTCTCTCTCTCTCTCTCTCACACACACACACTACCGGTTTAAAATTCAAATCACGAGATTAAATTTGGAACAGGAAAGGCAAACAGTGAAAAATTGAAGAACAATTCAGATAGAGAGAGAGAGAGAATTTAAGAAGTAGGGTTTTGGTGTTTGGGGTTGGAGGAAGTTTTGATTGTTTGTATAAATGGTGGAAAAGCAAAACTCGAGGGAGAAGGAGGAAAAAGGGGGAAAAGCTGGCAATGGCGTCAGCCGTCAGGCACGAGAGGCATCCCCTACCGGCCACCCAAACTAAAAAGATGGCGCTAATTTAATTTTCCTTTTCTTTTTTAAAAGGATTCAATACAAATCTGAACCAAATATAAAATGTTAAAATGAGTAAAAACTGATATTTAAATACAAAACTTCAAAAATGATCTTGTGGTTTTCGAAAATATTAAGTTTAGTCCTTAAATTCAAGAAATCTCACAGATGGTTCCTGTGGTTTCAAAACTTTTAATGTTTAGTCATTCCGTCAGCTTTCTACCGTTAAGTAAGGAACATTTTCGTCGTTTCAATATTCATGGACCATTTATGAAGGTTTTCTATTATTTTAAATAAAAAGAAAACTAAAAAATAATTATTTTAATATATAATTCTCTCTCTCTCTCTCTCGTTTATGTCAGATAACGAAAAGCATTAACTTCATCTGGTAACCAAAATCAAAACTTGGAAACCAAAAACCCAAGATTTGAAGGTGCTTATATGGCTTATACATTGATTGGTATTCCCATGGAAAACCACTGCCACTCCATCACCCAATTATATGTAATTTCTAGCCATGGATCGTCGTTTGACCTTCCTCCACATTTAAAGCAATTTGCTCAAATCTAATTAGAAAAAAGCGAACCCATAATCAATATTTCATATGGGTTTAAAATCCCCCCACTCCATACTTGCATATGGATCTAAAATTGTTATCAAAGATTGCTTTTATGTCTAAATTGTCGTACACGGAGGTTCTGAAGGGGACGAGAAGGGGGAGGATGGTGTTCGATGGTGGGTTCGATGATGATGCTCATGGAGGTTCAACAAGAAAAAAAAATAAGAGGGGTTTTTACCCTGTGATTTCGCAGGAAAATCTCTACCTGAAGCTCGATGGAGGAAGAAGGATATAGAGAGGGATTTGCTTGGGATTTGAAAACATAAGGAAACAGGAAGGAAGCCGGAGGTTCTCGGCTACCTTTCTTCTTTGTTGAACAAAACTTACTAGGACCTGTTGCGATGGTGGGTTTCTTCAACTGGGAATGGTGGTGATCAGGGGGTGTTTAGGTCGGCTTATCATCGAAATAAAAGAAAGAAGAATGTAAAGTCGAGGGAGGCACAACTCGGTTGTTGTGTTTTTTTCGGTGATTAAGTCATTCTACTTCGTTTGAAGCTGAAGACTTGATCCATTAGGGATTGAACCAGGTAGAGTAAATCGAGAAGTGTTGAAGGACACCAAATTGGTTAAATTTGCAAGTGATTCGACTGCAAATTGAGGGTTTTTTCTTCCAGCTCGTGTTCGCCTAAACCCAAAAATGTTGATTCCAGTAACATTGTCGTTCTGACATGAGATTCCGACCCAATTGAAACATGGAATTGATTTTATCGGCCATTGTTGTGATCTTAACCCTAGTGATGATCTGAGAGAGAGAGAGAGTTAATATTAAACAATTATTATTATTATTATTATTATTATTATTATTATTATTATTATTTTAAAAAAATAAGACAAAACTTCATAAATGGTCATTGTGGTAGTGAAAAGACAGAAATGCCCTTCACTTAACGGCCAAAAGCTAACGGCGTTAGCGAAAATGATCATTTGTTAAAAGTTTTGAAACCACAGGGACCATCTGTGAGGTTTTTTTAACTTAGGGACTACACTTGATATTTTCGAAAACCACAAGAATCATTTTTGAAGTTTTGTCTATATAATCAGAAGATGTTGTCACGTATATGTCAATCGATATGATATATTTCATAGAAAAGTATCAAATTTGATAAGTCAAAAGATAAAAAGACAGTTATTTATTCTTGAAAAAAAAAAAAAAAAAAAAAAAAAAAAAATAAATAAATAAATTACAGGATTGAAGCGGCATTTGGAAATGTATGAGGGTGTTTAATGAAAATAGAGTTAGTAATGGCCTCCAAGTGTAAGGATGTCATGTGTATTCATTCAATCTTTAAAAAAGGGGTGAGGGGGGAAGGGGTGGTGGGACCATAGACTCGGTCATGTGCAGGGTTCGGCCGGGCCCGTGGTTGCGACAAGGCTCGGAGACGGTATCCTCGTGAATCATGCTTTTGATGGCGACGGGCTCACCTCTCACATGGAGTTTAATGTTCGTCTCTTGTAAACAAATGCATCGACCACTTGTCTCATATGCTTGTCGTGTAGTACTTGTATATTTTCCTTTATCAACTAATTTCTAAAAATGATATTGGACAATGTGTTACTTAACAAGAACCCTATCACAATAAATTTAATTAAGAAATGTCAGCTTGCAAAATCGAAGCATAGCGACAATATGTACAACCAACGTGTGTACAGTAAAAGAAATTTTAAAAAATGTACTACCATAAAAGAAAAAGTTTACTGTATCTTCTAAATTTTAAACCAAGACTTTTCGATCCTCAAGCATGCATATAGCATATAGTATTTTTTTTAGAAATGAGATATTATATTATACATGATAAACAAAAGTGAAAAATTAAATATTCATCTAGCTTTTGCTCCTTTTCATAACATAATGATGCGTAATTTTCTTAAGTCTCTTTTTTTAAATATTTTTTTTTTAGTTTTGACATTTATCTATATCTAAAAAATAAGAAGATGGGTAAAAACATAATGCAGGAGGATATTGACTTCTTTAAAAAAGTTTAACCCATAATGTACATAGGGTAATCAAAAATAACAAATGTATCAGATCTTGCAGTGAGATTACATGGACCGCGGTATACGGTAATGATGTGGTTGAAAAAAAAACCATAATTTTTTTTCCATTCTTCTATACTTAACCAAGCATAACTCCTCCAAGATACACAATTTATTCTTCGATGTTGTTTTTTGTCATTCACATCTTTTTTTTTTTTTTTTTTTTCCTAAAGCCATATATAAAATAACAAGCAAAAAACTAGAGCAAAAACCAATTACAAATTGTTTAGGGGATGTTGAAGCCAACTAACCCAATTTAAAAGAACAATTGATATTTCTATCACAAAACCAAAAAAGAAAATTTCTCTAATCGAATCAAAATAGCATCGGGACATCTTACCACCTACAAAAAGTTTTTCATTTATGAATCTCTATATGTATCGAATAGTCGTACACACAATAACCTCAACAACCACTTTTTCTTACCACTATATCGAAGTTCATCAATCGTTTCAAACAGGAAATTCACTGAATCGAACACAGCTGCTCTAATGTTCATCCATTTAAATATCGCATCTCACGTTCTAGCCACCACATCACAACTGATGAACAAATGATCAGTAGCGCAACCAAAAATTTTCATATGGGGGTACAAACATAATCGGAATTTAAAATAACATTTGAGCAATTAGAATCTAGGTAGAACAATGAAGCCTCTTGAAATTGTATTTTTTTTTTTAACCAAAGTTTCCGAATGGATGGTAGAATATCAATCCTACCATTGTCTATAAACTCTCGGCAACGATCACTTGGATTCATGAGAAGAAAAACAACAGGCAGAAAAATTTAATGTTTTGAGTGGGGGTGCATGGTAGTTAAGCTTACTTACATATAGAAAGTTAATATGTAAAGTATAATATATATAAATTTTATTTTGGGGGTACAGTTGTACCCCTAACACCATATCTAACTCCACCACTGCATATATGATTCAACTGTTCTACCTCCAAATTACATATAGGACATAAAATAGATGTAATGTCAATTTCTTTTAGGTCTAAATTATTCCTAGTTGGAATCCTATCCGAATACAGCCTCCAAATAAGAATATTAACCATTCACGGGACAAAGCAATTCTACATGGTCTGAATAGCAACATTTGGTAAGATCTGGTCATCAATCCATCTCTGTGTATCTAAAACTATAAATGTCACACCCCAAAACCGAGAACGGCGGAAACGTTCTGGGGCGGAGGACGTCATGTAAAGTATCACAACACAGTGAATGTAAATAAGCAAACAACATCATCCATTGCATTAAATATATAATTTTAATACATGCGTGTTCTGTACAGTTATAGACACCAAAAATAATGTAAATCAAAATAATAAGATGAGTCTTGGATGCGCTCCATCTTCTCAAAAGCTGACCTCGGTACCTGTCTATTGATGACCTGAGAATACAAGTTATTTTGAAAGAGTTTATCAGCATTAAGCTGGTGAGTTCATAAGTATTTTAGTGTCGGTGTTTGTTATCAAAACATTTGAATATGTCTCAAGTGTAAGTTTGTAAAATGTATGTAAATGTTTGTAAGTGTTTGTAAAAGTCTGAATCTCTCAGAAAAACCTATATTTTCTATTAAAGTAGCCTTTTACCAAGGCTTAATTGTTTTGTACGCTCGTTTGTTCTAAAAGTGTGTAATTTCCCAAGTGTAACTATCATTAACATAATATAGTTTATACATGAATATTTAAGTGAAATAATCACTAAATGTATATACTGGGTAAATTAATGTAGTACTGTAGTGTTGTGTTATAGGAACTACTGATGTACTAACTACCTTAAATCGGATTTATATTAAGGTATCATGTGATTTAATTGTACCATACTATCGACTGAGTATCAACGACAAATGTAGGTCGTAAAAAGGTATGACGTTTGGCACCCGCAGACCTGCAGGTCCGGCTGTAGCTAGCAGCAAGGTGTAGGATAGTCAATCCAGTATAGATCTATATGCAAACTCACGCTCTCCCTCCAAGAGACTCTGGTTACAACTCGGGCCATGACATGTAAGGCGTGCTCCGATACAGTGGATCACATTTATGTAAGTGTATGTATGTATATGT